CCTGACTTTTATCCCTTGAGGAGGGCCAGTCACCTCCCATCCTTACTCCCGAATCGCCGCTTTTGTCTCCGCTGCTCTCTTCTGGCAGCTCTGTGCACACGTACACTGGGAACAGGCTCCCCTTGTTCCTCTGCCTTGCTTCTGCCAGACTCTGGAGGCTCCCACTCCCAGATGGTCCTGACCCCATCTCTGCATCAGACGCAGGACCCTCGTTCAAGTCCTCTCCAGACTTCCAGACTAGTCCCTGTTCTTCCCCTCTGTCTGATTCCACCGCTGTCTGCACAGGCTGCCGGTGAACCACAACACTGGGGATCGATCGCGTGTCCCCAGGATATCACAACCATCATAAATACGAAGCCGTGGCCAAGTGTCGGAATTTTGATCCTGTGACCACGGGGTTGCTGCAAAAGTTGCAACTCTGAAAAACGGTCCTCGGTCCCCTTTTTTTTCAGTGCTGTTGTAGCTAAATGAGCGCGTTGGAAGGAAAATCCATCTGGCTTAGTTCCAAGCTGGGAGAAAGGAGCTGGAAACATAACATGGAGTGTCAGCTGCTGCTCCATTCAAAATCCAAGAAAGAAATACTCGGACTCTTTTAGTTAGAGAAAAGATATCTTTTACTGGAAATGAAGCGGTAACAACAAGAGGACTCTGAATCTGAGGAAATAGGCACGTAAATCACATGTACAAAGCGATGGAAACGTTCCCACCCCCAAAAGTTCAACTGGTTCTTCCAATTAAAAGTTGTGAATATCATCATGTGGACATCTTCAGGTGGTGATGAAGTTTCTGTCCGTTGACCTTGGCATATTTTTTTAAAGGTTTGCAGCTGCGCAGAGAAGAGAAGGCCAAGCAAGAAATAGAAACCTAAGCAAGAATGTACTCCCCGCCCTCCTCAGTTTATACAATACTAGTTTGTATCACCTCCCGCTCGCTTCCCATACTTTTCCCCCCTCCTCCCCCCGTTACTTATGGCAGCCGAAAGATGCAACGCAAAGGTAGAAGATCTTGAAGGCTGACATGGAGGCTGATTGGAAAAATGGTTGACTGATGAAGCAGAACCAACGGCAACAGCATGTAGATCTGGGCAGGGCTGGTGTCAAACTCATAAAATATGTCCATGGTCTTTTTAGAGTTACCATCCGAAAAGGAGGGGGGAGCAGTGCAGCCACTTGCATTCCATAAATGTTTCCAAAGATAGTTTCTAGGTGACTGAAGTTTCTGCCGCGCAAAATTCTAACTGGAGAGCTTGATGGATGACTCTGGGCTAGGGAGGTGTCCCATTGGAGGATATGGATTACGATACACCCAGAGGGGTGGAGGGAAAACCAAGGTCAAGGGTGACCATGAATGATGTGTCTCAGAGTCGGCTACACCCAGGCAGCGCCAGCATGTTTACTCCTAATAAATCTTCGAGTTTTGAAAATCCAGCTAGAGACATGATTTAAATGGCGGGAAGTACCTGACAGCTGGGCTTCAAAAATGTCAGCAACCAGTTCTGTGCCTAGTTGCTGGGTGGGCGTGGCCATGATGGGTGTGGCCTAGTTGGCCTCCTGAACCATGGGAGGTTGTTTTGCCCTCCCTGGGCTCTGGAGGCTTTCTATTCCTATGCTATTTCTATTCTATTCTATTCTATTCTATTCTATTCTATTCTATTCTATTGCTATTCTATTCTATTCTATTCTATTCTATTCTTATTCTTATTCCTATTCCTATTCCATCCTATTTCTATTCCTATGCTATTCTATTGCTATTCTATTGCTATTCTATTCTATTCTATTCTATTCTATTCTATTCTATTCTATTCTATTCTATTCTATTCTATTCTCTCCTATTCTATTCTATTTGTTTTGTTCTATTCTATTCTATTCTATTATTTCTGTTTTGTTCTATTCTGTTCTGTTCTATTTCTATTTCTATTTCTATTATTTCTATTCTATTTTGAATTCTATTCTATTATATTCTCCTTTGGGAAAATATAATATTCTGCCTTTTTTAATATTCCCCAAAATTTTTCATTCTTCTTGGGGGGGGGGAGCTTGCTATGAACGGTTATAAGTCAAGGACTACCATGTTTCCCCCAAAAGAAGACACTGTCTTAAATTTTTTGGGCCACCAAAAAAGGCACCAGGTCTTATTTTCGGGGGAGGTCATCCACTGACTAACCTCACTTGCGCACGTCGCCTCCAGCCTCCTTTTCGCTGTCAGAGGCCTTCAGGAACTTCTTCTTCTGTGGCCAGCAAGGCTTTCCTGAAGGCCTCTGCAGTCGATAAGAGAGCTCTGGATCGATCCTGAGCTTTGTTCTCAGCTCCAGAGGCCTTCAGGAAAGCCTGACCAGCCTTGCCGGCTGCAGAAGAAATGGGCCGGCAAGGCAGGTATCGGGTATGCGAGGCCTGGCTACACCTGTCCAAAGGTAAGTAGTAGGGCAGCTCCACCCTCCCCTCATCCCCACCCTAGCTTAATTTTTACCCGTCCACTCTGGAGTGGGCAGGATCTTAATTAGGGCTTATTTTTTTTTGGGGGGGGGGTAGGGCTTATATTGGGTGCATGTGTAAAAATCAAGCTAGGACTTACTTTCAGGGTAGGTCGTATTTTGGGGGAAACAGGGTACCTGTATTGTTTCACATGGGCAGGAAAGAGAGATTGGGATTTGGCTTGGGAATGAACAGTGCAGGAATGGAAGGAATGTTGGAGCTTGAAAAATTCCATGGCAGTTAAGATTATCCAGAAAGTTTGTAGAAACAGAAAAGTGGAATTTCTGCAAGGAGATAAGTTGAGCAGAAGAGGTAGGGCCTGGCTTTGCAGGAAAGCAATATCCAGAAGCTGATTTTTTCAAAGTTATCTTTATGAAATCAAATGTTTTTATTATGGATTTAAAAAATATCCAGGTTCTGTTTCTATCAATTTTTTTTTAAGGCAAATTATGGTTTGGAACTGCCAAACCATTTTACTTCTTTTCTGTGTCATTTCATTTCATTTCATTGTTTGTTTTAATTTTTTCTTTGTCTCTTTAATTGAAATGAGACAAATGTAACTTCTTTTGAAGTTTCTGCCATATTGTTATTTCCTTTCATGGTCTGGTTTTATTTTTTGTTGCATGATATGTCTTTAATTGAAACGAGAACAATGTAATTGATTTCCAGTTTCCATCATTTTTCCTTTCATTATTTCACTTCACTTCGTTGCTTTGTTTTCACGTCTGTTTGCGTGCATTCTTGTTTTATTTTATTTGAAAATGTATCCCTGGATTGTGGCCAATAAAACTCAGGCAACTGAATTTGGTCACAGAGCTGGAAAGAAAATCCCTGAATTTGAGAAGCATCTAGAACTTTTCCAAAGGGTCTTTTTCAATCTTCACCTAGGAAACCCCACTTTCTCCTCCCCATTCCACCAAAAAGGGAAGACAGGCCTTATTAATAAGGTACAGAAACCAAGGACACATAGATTTAGTATGTGTGATGCATCAAAAAACAGAATAACAGAATGACAGAGTTGGAAGGGACCTTGGAGGTCTTCTAGTCTGGCCCCTTGCTCAAGCAGGTGATCTTATATACCATTCCAGTCAAAATGGTTGTCCAGTCTCTTCTTTAAAACCTCCATGGAGCACCCACAACTTCTGGTGGCAAGTAGTTCCACTGGTTAATTGTTCTCACTGTTAGGAAATTTCTCCTAACAGGCAAGTCGATTCTCTCCGTGATGAATTTCCATCCGTTGCTTCCTGTAAATGCCTTCAGGTGCTTTGGAGCAGTGGTCGCCAACCAGTGGGCCAGAGACCACTGGTGGTCCGTGAGAAAATTTTGGTGGTCTGCAGAGAAATGTCACCCCCAAAGCAATTAAACCAGGCTGTGCGGGAACACAAGGCTTGCATCGCTTGCATCGAGAACAACACGAGGTAGTGAGGGGAGGGGGGAAAGGGCGGAGGGGGGGAACTTGCCCCATTTGCCCCAAACGCCTGGCCAGGCCACTGGGTTGCTTCTTTCCACTTCTTTCTTCTTCTGCTTTTGTTTGCATGCAAGGAAAGCAGCAAAAGTCTTTCTTTCTCTCCCCCAAACTCTGCCAGAAATGAGTCTTTGGGGACCCTGCAAGGCCTCCTGCTCCAAGAGGCTGCGCCGGCAAAGACTCATTTCTGGTGGAGTTTGGGGGAGAGAAAGAAAGCCTTCTGCTGCTTCTGCTGTTTTCCTTGCATGAAGCCAAAGGTCTCTCTTTCTCTCTCTCTCTCTCCCCTGAGAACAGCTCTGGAGACGGTATCCTGTGATCCCAAATAAAGAATGATCGATCGGTAGGAAAACGGGGTGGGGGATATTCCTGCAGACTTTTTGGGGGGGATTTTCCCAAGGTCTCTGGTCTGCAGGATTTAAAGTTATGAGTTTGGTGGTCAGCCGGTGGCCAGGCGAGGCGTGTGGGGTGAGTGGGGCAAGTTTCCCCCTTCCGCCCTTTCACTCCTCCCCTCACTACCTCGTGTTGTTCGCAATGCAAGCGACGCAAGCCTTGTGTTCCCGCAGGCCATGTGGGCGGTGCAGCCTTTGTGTTCCCGCACAGCTTGGATTAATTGCTTTGGGGGGAGACATTTCTCTGCAGAGCACCAAAATATTCTTGTGGATCATCAAGTGGTCCCCCGGCCCACTGGTTGGCAACCGCTGTTCTCGTCCAACTCTCCGCTTAAGCAGGAGATTTCATACCATTTCAGACAAATGTTTGCCCAAGCTCTTCCCTCAACTGTAGCGGTAAGACGAGGCGTACCTGTGCACAGAGTTTTCAAAATGTGATCAATAGATGAAAAAACAAACCCAGGGCAGGTTCGTAGAGCAGGAATCTCCAAATCTGGCAACTTTAAGACTTGTGAACTTCAATTCCCAGAAAGCTGGCAGGGGAATTCTGGGAGCTGAGGTCCACAAGTCTTAAAAATTGTCAAATTTGGAGACTCCTGAATAAGGGGTGAGCTTGGTTTCTCTTCTCCATTCCTCTCCAACTTCTTTGTTGAATTCATCCTCCAGGCTCCACAGATGGACGACCTGCCGATAGAGAAGCATCCTACCCAGGTCAAGAAATCCAAATTGCGGAAATTCAAAAAAGCGAAGAAACGTTTGATCAAAATCTGTAAATACGAAGCCTTCGTTTCTTGCCTGGTTGGCTTATACACCTGCCAGTGGCAAGACCAGAACCTCAAAAGGATTAAACCAGGACTCTGGTGTTGCAATAAGGTACAATGATATCTTCCTCTCTCCTCAACAGACAGCTGGATTTAACGGACAGCTGGATTTAATGGACAGCTGGATTTAACGGACAGCTGGATTTAACAGACAGCTGGATTTAACGGACAGCTGGATTTAACGGACAGCTGGATTTAATGGACAGCTGGATTTAACAGACAGCTGGATTTAAAGGACACTCTTTCCACCTAGAATGATCCATTAAGTTGAGCTTTTAATGAATTTTATTTTATTCCCATTCTGCCTAGTGCTATAAAGGGTATTGTGCTGGCTTTTTTCCCCTTTTTCAGAAGGTAGGCTGAAGCAGGTGGAAGCAACCCTGGAAAACTAATGAGAAGCCTAAATTCTCAGGGGTAGCCTCCACAGCATACATTTCAGGCAGCACAATTGTTCCTATTGAAGTCTAAATATGATGCCTTTCTCTCCTATTTTTAATTATAGGGAGAATGTATGTATTTTTCCCTCTTGGCTTTCACATTCAGCTTTTCCTTTGTCTTTCTGTATATGTGGGGAGAAGCCAGGAATGACTACAACAGCTTTGACTGGTAAGTGTTCAAAGGCTTTTATTGCTATCACAGCCAGTCCTTGACTTACAACAGTTCATTTCGTGATTGTTCAAAGTTACAACGGCAATGAAAAATGTGACTCAAGACCAGGGATGGGTTTCCAATTTTTTTTTCCTACCGGTTCTATGCGCGGTTCTATGACAATGAATTTTGGGTCTCAGAAACAGCAAGCTGTCAGGATTCCTGCAGTTACCCCCCAATTAAATCATGAGCCTCGAGCCAAACTTCCAAAACTTCAAATGGATTTATTCGGAGTTAACATGTCCGGCGCTGCCTGGATGTAGCCGACTCCGAGGCACATTATTAATTGTCACTCTTGACCCTGGTTTCCCCCCCCACCCCTCTGGGTGTATCATAATTCCTATTCTCCAATGGGACACCTCCATAGCCAAGAGTCATCAATTATGCTCTCCAGTTAGATATTTGCACAGCAGAAACTTCGGTCACCTAGTTATCATCTTTGAAAAACTATTTGTGGAATGCACTTTTGATTTCCAAGCTGCTGCACTGATCTTTCAAAACCCCTCCCTTTCAAAGACTATAGAAATATTTTATGAGCTGACAGCGTGCTCGCTTCAAGTCTTAAGACCGACCTATAGCTGTTTCTTACCTCCACTGAGGCGCACCAAATGCACGATTTGTGCATGCAGAAATGAGACTAAGACCGACCAACAGCTGTTTCTTAGCTCAGTTGAGGTGTGCCAAACGCGTGATTCCTGCGCGAATCACCTGAGCTAATAAACAACAGAATATAGGACAGGTGAGAGGTCAGGGGCAGGTGGGCAGGGCCAGCCAGAGGCGGTATTTGCCAGTTCTTTGAACCAGTCAAAATTTTCACAACCGGTATGCCAGAACCGGTCTGAACCGGCTGAATACTGTCTCTGCACATGACCATTTCTCACAGTTATGACTTTTACTTTACTTTACTTTATTGTCATTGCACCTCGTACAACAAAATTAAATACCATCTTCAGTGTACATTATGACTGTGAAAATAAACACAAACACCCATTCTTTACATTCTATACATTGAATTGAAAACCCCTGATATTGCATTTATTGCACTATACGGTAGAATTCAATAGAGTTACTGCCCTAGGGTAGAAGCTGTTTTTCAGCCTATTTGTCCTTGTTTTTATTATTCTCCTGTACCGTCTGCCAGAGGGTAATAGTTCAAAAAAAAAAAGGGCAGGTTTCCCAGGATGAGATGGATCTTTGAGAATGTTTTGAACTTTCTTAAGGCAGCGGGACCTATAAAGCTCTTCCAAAGAGGGGAGAGGGCATCCAAAGATCCTCTGGGCAATGACGTTAACCCTCTGGAGCACCGTCCTAGCTGTCCCTGTGCAACTGGCAAACCATACAGAGGTGCAGGAAGTTAAGATACTCTCTGTGGTGCAGCGGTAGAAGGTCACCAGCAGTTTTTCATTCAGTTATTGTTTCCTGAGAAGCCTCAGGTAGCATAATCTCTGCTGGGCCCTTTTGACCAGGGTTGCAATGTGAGCACCCCAGGTCAGGTCCTCTTTTAGGGTGACACCCAGAAACTTAAAACTGGCCACTTGCTCCCCTCGGTCTCCCTTGATAAGCAAGGGCTGGATTTCTGATCTATTCCTTCTATATAGTCCACTATCAGCTCCTTGGTCTTATTGGTGTTGAGGACCAAGTTATTGTCTCCACACCATGAAAGCAACCGTTGGTCCACCTCATCTCGGTAGGCAGGCTCATTCCCTCCCCCGGAGACGAGTTCTACCACTGTTGCATCATCTGCACATTTAGTAATAGTATTACTAGCGTGAGTGGGAAAGTAGTCATGCACATAAAGAGTATAGAATAAGGGACTCAACACGCAACCCTGTGGTGTACCAGTGTTAAGAATAAGGGATGAAGAGGTATGATTACCTAATCTGACCCTCTGTGAGCAGCCAGACAGGAAATCCATAATCCAAAGACAGATTGAATAAGGAAGTCCAAGTCCTTTGCAGCATCCCCAGGACCACATGGCCAAATTTCAGATGCTTGGCAAACTGGTTCATACTTATGACCGTTGCTATGTCCCAAGGTCACGCAATCTCCTTTTGTGACCGTCTGACCAGCCAAGTCAATGGGGAAGGCAGGTCATTAAGGAGAAACTTCCTGACCACGAGGACAATTAACCGGTGGAACTGCTTGCCACCAGAAGTAGTAGGTGCTCCATAAAGCAGAGATTGGACAGCCATTTGTCTCAAATGGTACACAGGCTCCTGTTTGAATAGAAGGTTGGACTAGAATCGTGATGGTGAACCTATGGCATGCGTGTCACAAGTGACATGCAGAGCCATTTGTGCCGGCACATGAGCCGCAGGCAAACTTACCTTACTGCGCATGCGCGCACCTCATAGCTGAGTTTCCGCTGGTTTGAGGCCTTTTTTTGGCCTCCCAGAGGCTTGAAAAAAGTCTCTGCAGGCTTTGCAGGACGAATAATAGGTCCGTTTTGTCACTTCCTGTAATACCGGAAGTGACGAAATGGGCCTAAAATTCGGCCTAAAAAGCCTTGCGGAGGCTTTTTTTCAAGCCTTTGGGAGGCTGAAAAAGGCCTCAAACCAGCTGAAGAAACTCCGCTGTGAGGTGTAGTGCCTCACAGTAGGGGGTGGATGGGGAATTGCACACGCATGCGCAGGGGGGGTGGAGAGGGGGGGCGCATTGCATTTTGGGTGCTGGCACACGAATGTGTGTGTGCTGGCATGTGCACAATTTTTGGCACCGGAGGCCAAAAAGGTTAGCCACCACTGGACTAGAAGAATCTCCAAGGCCCCTTCCAACTCCATTATTCTGCTTGGGAAGAAGAAATGGAGTCATTTGCTACTGAGCAATGGTACTTTTACCTAAACGTCACGGTTCCTTGTCATCCTTTTAGGTACAGCTTCATAAATTTAGGCTACTGGTTTCACTGGTCGACTTTCCTGCTGTTTCTGGCGGTCTTCGTCTTTTCCTACCTGTTTTTCTTAATCGTAAGTCCAAGCTTTTCTTTGGTGAAAAGACTTCCCCCAAAAGCGGGACGATGACGCGGATATCAGCCCAAACTTTAAGGGAAGGTGTGGTTGGGTGATTGGGTGAAAGATCTAACACTCAGAGGCAGAGGCTGCATTCGAAAGGCAGATGGGAAAAAGAGGTTTGCACACGTGGCTATTAAACTGATCAGAGTAGAGTAGAGTAGAGTAGAGTAGAGTAGAGTAGAGTAGAGTAGAGTAGAATAGAATAGAATAGAATAGAATAGAATAGAATAGAATAGAATAGAATAGAATAGAATAGAATAGAAAATGGAATAGAGAACAAACTAGAAAATAGAATAGGATACAGAATAGAATAGAATAGAATAGAATAGAATAGAATAGAATAGAATAGAATAGAATAAGAATAAGAATAAGTATAGAATAGAATAGAATAGAATAGAATAGAATAAGAAAGGAATAGAATAGAATGGAATGGAATGGAATGGAATGGAGTGGAATAGAATAGAATAGAATAGAATAGAATAGAATAGAATAGAATAGA